CAAGATGGAGTATAGGAGATGGTGTAGTATGTTACATAGTTGTCACTACTGGGAATAGTCCAGTTCACTGTAATACCAGTGGTTGAGACATTGGATACTGAGAGACTAGTTACTGGACTAGGAACTAGAACAGACATTAATTATACTCTCTCAATGATAATAACTCACCATCAAATTTTAACACTGTTACTGTACTATTAACTGAAGGAAGATCTATATATGAGTACACACTGATGGTATAGGTACTCATTAGTAAGAGATTTGTTAGTACAATTTCATTTTTACTTGTAGATACTACATTCCTTGTTACACTTTCAGTAGTATATTCAATCACATATCCAATAGCCTCTGATGAATTGGTCCAGTTCACTTTAATACTAGTTGCATTTAATATAAACCCTTTCACATTATTTGGAGGACCATTAGGAGCTGAAAATATATAGAGCAATATTGATTAAAGTATAATCAATTATTCATACCATGTAATGTCACAGATTGGCTGTAGTTGACTCCTCCAATCATTGCTGTACAGGTAACAGTGACTGACACTCCCAGTGGATCAGGATATATCAGTAGTGTGTTGTTGTATGTCAGGACATCAATTAATGTATACATTGAGTTACTCTTCATCACTCCATTCACTAACCAGTAAACATCAGTTGATGGATTTATATCAGTAGTTGTGATACAAGTGATACGATATTGAGTGCTATTGAGTTGTGTAATGGATGAGACTAGTGTCCAATTGATTGAATTAATAACTATAGAATTGCATCAATAATGTTACAATTACATTAAATGCAGCAGCAATACCTGGTGAGGTCTGTACTTTGATTGTACTAGCAGGTCCCAGTAATTGTTGATATGCTCTAACTGTGATGCTATAAGTTGTTAGTTCTCTGAGTCCATTCAGTGTGATTGCATTATTATTACTTCCCTCCACCTGTACTGTCTGCACAGTGTCTGTGTCACTAGTGACATTGACTACATATCCATCAGCATCAGATGAATCAAGTGCAGTCCAATTGACAGTGATAGTGGTAGCTGTCTTGCTGACCACAGCAAAAGAAGAGGGAGCATTTGCTGGTACTAACATAAAGAAATTTAATAATAATAATTGGTAACACTAAGTTTTAGAGTTTATAAGCATTACCTGTTACAGTTAAACTACGTGTTCTAGTTCTTTGATCAGTAACTTGCACTACACACTGATACATTTGATCTCCAGTAGTTGATTGACTGATTGATCCACTACTGACATTCATTCCATCCCATGTGATAGTAACAGTATATCTTACTGTGTTTTCAACAACACCACTTAAATCAGTACCAGAACAAGGATTATTATTGTCATAACAATTGGTATAACTAGCCAATGCAGTACTATTAATGCTCATGCTAATATCATAGCGATTGAATCCAATTTTAATACAATTTAGTTTGTATTTCTGAGGATATACTGTCATATCAGAAGGAAGATCAGCAACAGTAAATGATTTTATCTGTGCAAAGTCTACAAATGAAAAATATTACATCAGTAAGTGATTATAGTCTCCTCTTACTGAATATATTAGCAAAGATGATTTTAGTGTTAGGGTCTGAACAATTAGTGGGTAGACAACACTTGTACCAGCCATCACCAGCAGAAGACTGGAGATAAGCTGTTGTCTCAACACTGAGACTAGCTCCTGAAGACCCAGGGGTACATTGAACATTTTGCTTGCTACCAGGACAAGGAACTACTCCATCAGGACCAATCCATTGTCCATCATCAAAATTAGCACCAGGTAATCCACACTCTAATGGCTTACCTCTGATGGTGTTATCTGAAAAAAATGATCCATTGGGATAACAGTTTTCATTATACCTCAGGTAGATACCTATAAAAACCTATACAGTTGTTATTATACACATCCAGTGTCTTACCTGAGGAAGGTGGACATTGGCTAATAACTTCATTGGCACTCAACAAGAATACAGCACTCACAAAAACTAGTCCTGACACTGTCATTTTGTCTAAAACTGATAAATGTAAACGTTTTTCTGTCTACTAAAACAAAAAATAGCAATATTATCGGTAGCCCATTAACAAAGTAAATATTACATAAGAAAAATAAATATATAATAAGTGTGTTATAAAAACAAGACATGGTTACACAATAGGAATGTAAATTAAACACGTCATGTGACAAACAGGTAGGATATAATGATGATGGTGGCTACAGCTAATTGGCAAGTGAAGACAATTAAGCATAATGCCAGTATATCTCACAATCTCCACTTTAACATCATGCATGGTTCTATTTATTTTACTATTTTACTAATAAAGCACATTAATTTCGTTGAGTGCAATGCTATTATGATAACTCAAAGATGCAATATAACTCATGGGTAAAAACTCCTCAGAGCTCAATCAGTGTAACCAAATAAAGCAAAATGCTATGGAATAAAATCAAAAAGATAAAGTCAATTGTGAAAGCCATGATGCATGTAAGTAATGGCTTAATTCATTAGTATAGTAATACTGCTATTGTTAGCAAGACATGTGTACTTCAGAAATTGCTAATACTTAAAGTACACCAAAAGATTCCTATTACCATTGGTAATGTCATATCCTTTATGAGGCTGAAAATACATGCTGGTATACATTTCTAAGTACAATCATAAGTAAGCATAATACATGTAAGTAGACATTGTTTATTTACATTTACTGGTGCTTGCATTCACCATTACAGTATAGACCTAGCACATGTACATATCAGCCATACCTTATTTTGAATTTTTACAAATACATGTATCTTCATTGTTGACACATAAGCTATACTGAATACAGAACAATGCTGATTAAACAGGCAACTATCAACTGTTTGACATTTACAAATACTGCAGACATACATATAATAACAATAATTTCTACAAGTATGTTTATAATGTCAGCAATCATATTATATAGTCTGCTATATCTACTGAAAGTTAGCATATGTACTGTGCAGTTTGAAGTACATATCAATTACATCATATATGGAGGTATACTGCTCCTGTAAAAAAACAAATAATTATGATATATGTAGTATAGCTATACCAGTCTAGTAACAGCTCCTGGTTTACTCCTTCTTATAGCTTTAGTCACTTGAAACACATCCACTACACCTTCTGCCTTACACTGTTCTAGAGCAATACTCACTGAGCAATAGACTCCTGAACGACTCACTGTATCACTACACACAAACACACACA